AGGTCATTCTACTACATAGTGAGACCCTGTCTCAAAAAACCAAAAAAAAAAATTATTCATTTTGTTTTGGTACTGGGGATCAAACTCAGGCCCTTGTGCTTGCTAGGCAGGCATGGAACCATTGAGCTAAATCCCCGGCCCACTCTGTTTCAAAATTAAAAAGAAAAAAGAACAAACAATAAAGACGAGGAAGGAAACACAGGTCCACATTACTTCCCCAGAGCCTTGGGGTCATGTCCCATGGTGACAAAGACTGGGACAGAGGAGGTAGGGCACAAGCGAATTTATTTAAAAGATACAGATGCGAGGAAGCAGAGCTCCCACCAATCGGGAGGGGACACCCACGGGGCTCTGTGTTCAGGGGCTTTAGGGTGAGGGGCGCTCCGAACTGACTGGCTTCAGATCCCCTGGCTGGGGTGGCTCACGGCCCGTGGCCCTTTGGAACCTCTGGGACCTGGCCGGTGGGTCCCCTCTGACCTGTGTGCCTACCACAAGGCTTAGCACAAGGTGAAGGGAGGTGACATTGTCCAGCCTCTCCCTCCAAAGTCGCCCAGGATCCAGAGTGTGACAGAAACCCTGGGACAAACTGCAAGGCTATTTCCTTTGTCTCCCCTGGGCTGGTCCCCGTGAGACTTCCGGTCCTTCCTCAGCCCACAACAGCTACGTGAAGATGACCTGAGCCCTTCTGCACCCCAAGAATAAGTGCTCAAGCAGTGTGTGGTGAGGAGGCTGAAGCAGGAGGATCTCTGTGAGTTCAAGGCCTCCCTGGGCTAATAGGGAGACCTTGTCTCAAAAAAACAAAATTGGGCCAGGGATTTAGCTCAGTGGTTCTGCCAATTGCCTTTTCAATCCCTGGTACCCCACCAAAAGCCAGGCATGGTGGCACACACCTGTGATTCCAGCACTTGGGAGGCTGAGGCAGGAAGATTGTCTCGAGTTGGAGGCCAGCCTGAACTACAAAGGAAGACCTTGCCTCAAAAACAAACTAACTAACTAAAAACCCAGAAAAAAGACTACAACTCTTAGCCAAAATCCTCCACGTCAGTCCTCCCAGGGTTGGTTTCTGCTGCTTTTCTTCCAGGCTCATCAGTCCCTAATTTGGCTTATTGAGAAAGTAAAGGGCAGAAACCTGATCTGAAGATAAGGAACAGAGTTCAAAGAATGTTTTTAGGTGAAACACCTTAGATCACTCAGTCAAGGAAACCAGACTGGGCAGGGTTGAGGCCCTGCGGGCGGTGGTCAGGTCACAGCCAGCTGCACGGAGCCAAACCTGGAGAATTCCTGCTCTCAGCCACCTGCCCCTTCAGTGTGGATGTCTGCATTTCAGCCTAATAAATCTCTTTATGCCTCTTTTAAAAATAAAAAATAAGGGCCGGGGATTTAGCTCAGCGGTTCTGCTGCCTGACCCAAAAGCACAAGGACCCGAGTTCAATTCCCAGTACCTAAATAAATAAATGAGGCTGGGCATGGTGAAGCACACCTGTCATCCCAGCACTCAGGAGGCTGAGGCAGGAGGATTGCTGTGAGTCAGGGGCCAACCTGGACTAAAGAGAGATCCTATCTCATACTCACAAAAACAGAAAAATTAAAAAATCGGACAGAAAGTGAATCTATTCATGATGTACATGATGTTTGGGTCTATGCATACATTGCAAAATAGTCAAGTCAAGGTAATTAACTTACTTTTTTTTTTTTTTGAGACAGGTATAGTTCAGGCTCACTTGAACTCACTGTGTAGCCCAGAGGCCGACCTCAAACTTGTGTCAATCCTCCTGCCTCAGTCTCCCCAGTGCTGGGATGACAGATGTGCACCACCATGCCCGGCTGCCACTTTTTGTAGTGAACATTTAAAACCTACTCTTAGCAGTTTTCAAGTGTACAGTATATGCTAGTTATAGTCACTGCGATGGAGAAAATGGCGCTTTTTTTTTTTCAGTGCTGGAACTGAACCCAAGGCCTTGGCACTGATCTGCACCCCAGCTCTTTTTCTGTTTCTTATTTTGAGACAGGGTCTCACTAGGTCACCCCGGCTGGGCTCATACTTCACATCTCCTGCCTTAGCCTCCCGCAGTGCTGGGCAACAGGCGTATACCCGTGGCCACACCTGGCTTCGTTCCTCTTTTTCTCTCCACAGTGCTAGAGACTGAACCCAGGGCCTCACACAGCACCCCTTAAGTGTTGGCTGAAAGAGAAAAATCCCAGCAACAACCTGGACAGGATGCGAAGTTCTCACTAGAGTTAACCCTGAACAATACAAGTCCCAGCGCCCTGGTCCACTTCTGTGTAAATTCTTCTTCTTTTTTGTTTTGTTTTGTTGTTGTTGTTGTTGGGGGGGGGTTGAGACAGGGTCTCACTATGTAGTTGAGACTGACCTGGAACTCACTATGTAGCCCAGGCTGGTCTCAACTCACAGCATCCTCCTGCCTCAGCCTCCCAAGTGCTGGGATTACAGGTGTGTGCCACCACACCCGGCCTCATTTATTTATTTATTTATTTAGGTACCAGAAATTGAACTGGGGTCCTCACACTTGCGAGGCAGGAAGTGGAACTACTGAGCTAAAGCCCCAGCCCTTGTTGTTTTTTGAGCGAGGGTCTCACTGCCTAATCCAGGCTGACCTTGAACTTGTGGCGATCCCCCTGCCTCAGCCTCCTGAATGCTGGGATCACAGGTATACGCTACCATGGCTGGAATAAATCCTTTTAAAACTTGCGACAATTTGAAAAATCTTGAAGGTGAACTGCATGGAAAAATAAGAAAAAGTGATGATATGAATACATAAAATATAAGCAGATTAGTCTATTTTACCATTGGCTACCATACAACATACACAGATCTATTATCAAAAGCAAAATCTGGCAAACATGCCCACGCTTACAGATTGTACATGGCATGATTCATAGTCAAGAGAAATGTAAACAAACATGAGGTGCAGTATTAAATCATAACTGCAGGCTGGGAGGCTGAGGCAGGAGGATGGCAAGTTTGAGCCCAGCCTTGGCAACTTAGCAACTTAGCAAGACTGCATCAAAATAAAAAATAAAAAGGGCTGAACCAGACGTGGTGGCGCATGCCTGTCATCCCAGCACTTGGGAGGCTGAGGCAGGAGGTTCGCTGTGAGTTGGAGAACAGCCTGGGCTACATAGTGAGTTCCAGGTCAGTCTCAACTACACAGTGAGACCCTGTCTCAAAAAACCAAAAAAATAAAATAAAATAAAATAAAATTGTAATCCTAGGTTCAGTCCCCAGTACTGAAAAGGAAAGGGGGGAGGGGCACTGAAGCCGCTCATCCTGTGGCCAGCATGTGGTAGGGAGAAGACTCGAGACAGGTGGCTGTCCTGAAAGTTTCCTTTTTATTTATTATTAGTAGCAGTAGGTTTGTTTTGGTTTGGTGTTTCGAGACAGGGCCTCACAATGCAGCCCAGGCTGGCCTCGAACTCACAGCGATCCTCCCACCTCAGCCTCCCGAGGGCTGGGATGATAGGTGTGCAGTTTTTCTGCAGTGCTGAGGTGGACAGGCGAGCTCCAGAGTGGCTCAAACTGCATTTTCTGCCTGCATAATGTGACTTTCTGTGTTCAAGAACAGCTGGCTTTTCCATTTTGCGCCCTGTGTTAACACAGCTGCTGGGAAAAGGAGTTGAAATAACTTCACTTCCTAGGCAGGCATGAGGCACACGTCCATCATCCTAGCACTCTGGGAGGCTGATGCAAAAGGATAACAAGGTGGAGCCAGGCCTGGGGGACTTAGCAAGGCCCTGTCTCAGAGAGAGAGAGAGAGAGAGAGAGAGAGAGAGAGAGAGAGAGAGAGGGAG